ATTGTAAAACCGTGTTGTAGTTTTACCTCCCCATATACATGTATGGAGTGAATTTTGCAACTTAAGAGAAATTTTGTGCTCCGAACAAGCTAGGAGAAGGACGGCTTTCACACACGCTTAACTCTCAGAACTGAGCATGTGGAGAGACGGACGTTCATTTAGCACAATGTGAACGGGTTGCAGGATAAACACTCCCTCTGGATTCTCCGTGTGTTTCCTTGTGTCGGTTTGAAATTCCTGCAGTTTTCATTGTAAAATCGTGTTGTAGCTTTTACCTCCCCATATACATGTATGGAGTGGATTTTGCAACTGAATAGAAACTTTGTGCTTCCAACAAGCTAGGAGAAGGACGGCTTTCACACAAGCTTAACTCTCAGAACTGAGCATGTGGAGAGACGGTCGTTCATCTTGCACAAAGGGAACGGGATGCAGGGGAAACACTACTCTGGTTTTCCAGTGTGTTTAAAAGTGCCGGTTTGAAGATCCTGCAGAATTCACTGTAAAACCGCCTTGGAGCCTGTACCTCCCCACATATATGTATGGAGTGCAGTTTAAACCGAACAAAAACTTTGTGTTTCCAAAAAGCTAGGTAAAGGACGGCTTTCACACATGATTAACTCTCAGAAAAGTGCATGTGGAGAGACGTTCGTTCATCTAACAAAAAGGAAACGGGATGCAGGCGAAACACTCACTCAGGTTTCTCAGTGTGTTTCCTAGTGCCGGTTTGAAGTTCCGGCTCTTTTCACTGTAAAAACTTCTTGGAGCTTGTACCTCCCCATATATATGTATGGAGTGGAGTTGGCAACTGAAGAGAAAGTTTCTGTTCCCAAAAAGCTAGGTGAAGGACGGCTTTCACACAAGCTTGTATCTCAGAACTGAGCATGTGGAGAGACTTTCGTTCATCTAGCACAAAGATAACTGGTTGCAGGAGAAACACTCACTCTGGTTTCTCAGTGTGTTTCCAAGTGCTGGTTTGAAGTACCTGCAGTTTTCACTGTAAAACCGAACTGGAGCTTGTACCTCCCAATATATATGTATGGAGTGGAGTTTGCAACTGAAGAGAAACTTTGTGTTCCCAACAAGCTAGTTGAAGGACGGCTTTCACAAATGCATAACTCTCAGAACTGAGCATGTGAAGAGACGTTCGTTCATTTATCCCAAGTGGAAAGTGTTGCAGGCAAACACTCACTGTATTTTTTTAGTGTGTTTCCTAGTGCCGGTTTGAAGTTCCTGCAGTTTTCACTGTAAAACCGACTTGGAGCTTATACATCCCCATATATATGTATGCAGTGGAGTTTTCTACTGAAGAGAAAATTTGTGTTCCCAACAAGCTCGGTGAAGGACGGCTTTCACACATGCTTAACTCTCAGAACAGAACATGTGGAGAGACGTTCGTTCACCTAGCATAAAGGAAACGGGTTACAGGCGAAGCACTCACTCTGGTTTCTCAGTGTGTTTCAGAGTGCCTGTTTGAAGTTCCTGCAGCATTCAATGTAACAGACTTGGAGCTTGTACCTCCCCATATTTATGTATGGAGTGGAGTTTGCAACTGAAGAGAAACTTTGTGTTCACAATAAGCTAGGTGAAGGACGGCATTCACACACGGTTAACTCTCAGAAATGTGCATGTGGAGAGACGTTCGTTCATCTTGCATAAAGAAATGGGTTTCAGGGGAAACACTGACACTGGTTTCTCAGTGTGTTTCCTACAAACGGTTTGAAGTTCCAGATGTTTTCACTCTAAAACCGACTTGGAGCTTGTACCACCCCATATATATGTGTGGAGTGGAGTTTCTAACAGAAGAGAAAATTTGTGTTCCCAACAAGCTATGAGAAGTAAGGCTTTAACACATGCTTAACTCTCAGAAGTGAGCGTGTGGAGAGACGTTCGTTCATCTAGCACAAAGGGAACTGTTTGCAGGAGAAACACTCACTCAGATATCTCACTGTGTTTCCTAGTGCCGGTTTGATGTTCCTGCAGTTTTCACAGTAAAACCGCCTTGGATCTGGTACCTCCCCATATATATGTATGGAGTGGAGTTTTCAACTGAAGAGAAACTTTGTGTTCCCAACAAGCTAGGTGAAGGACGGCTTTCACTCATGCAACACTCTCAGAACTGAGCATGTGGACAGTCGTTCGTTCATCTAGCACATATGTAACTGGTTGCAGGTGAAATACTCACTCTGCTTTCTCAGTTTGTTTCCCAGTGCTGGTTTGAAGTTCCTACAGTTTTCACTGTAAAACCGACTTGGAGCTTGTACCTCACCATATATATGTATGGAGTGGAGTTTGAACTGTAGAGAAACTTTGTGTTCCCAACTATCTAGGTGAAGGACGGCTTTCACATACGATTAACTCTCAGAAGTGAGCATGTGGAGAGACGTTCGTTCATCTAGCACAAAGGGAATGGGATGCAGGAGAAACACTCACTCTGGTTTCTCAGTGTGTTTCCCAGTGCTGGTTTGAAGTTCCTGCAGCTTTCACTGTAAATCTGAATTGGAGCTGGTACCTCCCCATATATATATGGAGTTGATTTTGCAACTGAAGAGAAACTTTGTGTTCACTACAAGCTAGGTGAAGGACGGCTTTCACACACGGTTAACTCTCAGAAATGTGCATGTGGAGAGACGTTCATTCAACTTGCACAAAAAAACGGGTTCCAGGCGAAACATTGACACTGGTGTCTCACCGTGTTTCTTAGTGCCGGTTTGAATTTCCTGCAGTTTTCACTGTAAAACCACCTTGCAGCTGGTACCTACCCATATATATGTATGGAGTGGAGTTTGCAACTGGAGAGAAACTTTTGTTCCCAAGAGCTAGGTGCAATACGGCTTTCACACACGCTTAACTCTAAGAAATGAGCATGTGGAGAGACTTTCTTTCATTTAGCACAAAGGAAACGTGTTGCAGGCGAAATACTCACTCTGGTTTCACTGTGTGTTTCCCAGTGCCGGTTTGAAATTCCTGCTATTTTCACTGTAAAACCGACTTGGAGCTTGTACCTCCCCATATATATGTACGGAGTGTTTTTCAACTGAAGAGAAACTTTGTGTTCCCAACAAGCTACGTGCAGGACGGCTTTCACGCACTCTTAACTCTCAGAAATGAGCATGCGATAAACGTTCCTTAATATACCACAAAGGAAACGGGTTGCAGGCGTAACATTCACTCTGGTTCCTCAGTGTGTTTCCTAGTGCCGGTTTGAAGTTCCTGCAGTTTTCACTATAAAACCGCCTTGGAGATGTTACCGCCCCACATATATATATGGAGTGGA